CTCCTCGATAGTGGCGATGACGGAGTGGTCACTAAAAAGATGATGTCGTTTTTCCTTAATTTAACATGTGGCACTTTGAGTTTAATTTCCTGAAGCAATTCTGGGGCATTTAGGTGATTATTCAGTATCTTGTACACAAAGGTAGCACAGGTCACTTCGCGTCGGATTTGTAAACTTGATATTTTAATACCGTGCACACTGTTTAAAAATTTTAGTTGGTTGGAGTAAGAGATAAAATGTCGAAAATTTTGAGTCGACCTAAAATACACTATTCGCACTAATTTTTTTTTAACTTTCTCTATCATGTCTGCGTGCTTATAAGTTTGGGGTGTCCAAATACATGCCGCATAATCGAGTTTGAATCTGATGATATGATTATATGATATAGAGATTTTCTTCTCTTTGCAATGATATAATATATTAGTACCCTTACACAAAAACATTTTTCAAACAAATTTATTATAATTAGATCCCAGATACCCTACATCAAAATAAAATCAATGAACGTGTAGGTTTCTTATTAAACCTTGAAGACAAAAGCCGTGAAATGGTTTCCATCGCAACGAATGTTCAAAGTATCCTATCAAAAAAAGCTTGAAATAAAAATTAATTTCTTCTACACGGGTGTTAACGTGTTACGCCATATGAAAAGAGAAAAAAATCTGTATCAAATGAGCCTATAATGAAACTGTGCATTGCTATTTGAAAAAATTCAATTGTTTTTCATTATTCATTTGTTTTCTGAAATACAAACAATCGAATTCTGCCTTATTATGGGAATTTCGTATAGAAAAATTTTGTATACAGTCGATATTTACCGAGATATATATCTACTATACTCGATACATAATGGGCACCCTGTATTTTATTTTTTTTAGATTTTTAAGTGTGCGGGGTCTCAAGTCAATGCTTTCTTTTATATCTCTTATACTTTCGAATTCGATGATATAAGACATTCAAAGGAAATGACCATTTTTAGTTTTTTTGAGTTTACGTCGATTTTGAATCTCCACAAGGAAATTTTAAATAAGCATTTATAAAAACTTCAAAACATTGTCCATTTAACTAATTCTCTATCTTTAATAATAAGAAAGTTACCCATGCAATCCCACCCGATCTGGGACACACTGTATATAACAGTACCTATATTATAATTATATTATGGTATATTCATCTCTTCATCATGCGCAGTTAATGAATTATGCAATAATTATGATTGTGAATAAATATTTATTTATGCGCAATGGAAGGATACCATTTTAAAATATTTAATTGTATGATTATTTATAAAGTATCGCCACTTGCTAATAACAATTGAGTAATTAATCCTTCACTCGATGCTAATAGCTCATATAGTTGAAAATAAAAGTAATAAGTCCTCGGTAGTATAGTGGTCAGTATCCCCGCCTGTCACGCGGGAGACCGGGGTTCGATTCCCCGCCGGGGAGACTTTTATTTACTACTATTTCTTGCTGAGATTGTACTATAAACATGGCGTCATCAGTTTTATTGACTGCGAAACTAATTAGCGCAACTGATAACGAAAGATACGCAGGTTTTGAACGCTCCTTAATAACTGCTTCCTGCGAGTCATGAATTTTGTGGTCTTGAAAATCCATTTGCCAGTAATCACGTCTCGTTCTTACTCGGCAAAAGATTTCCTCTTGCATAGCCAGCTGCCGCCATTTTGGCCAATCGCGTCCATTCTGTATCTCAGACAAATTTTGAACGAATACTTTAGTAAGATTGCTGATCTTAGAGGCTACTTGTTCTTCTACCAAAGTTCGTGTGGCGAAATCCCTGATTCTGGAGACGGTCCTGTTCGGTCAATCGCCCACGCAGCTGTCATTACAGCCTCAGCCCAAAATTTCTGTATGAGTATGGCAGAGATATTCGGTGGCACAAACCGAGAACAAATTTTTTCCCACTTCCGGAATAAACCGCACATCTCAAGATACCTCTTTTCAGTCATACCATTGACAGTCATTTCAATCAACCAAGGCCTTTATTGATTGGACATTTGTGACTTACCTACTTTTCTGGGAAAAACACCTTGAGAGGTTCCATCCTGTATATACAACTTACGACGATGCATACATTTTTGAGAGTTGGCAACCATGCAATTTCTAGGTGGGAAAAAGCTGCCTGCGCCATCTAAAAAGCACGAACGGGGGTTACGTTTGGCATGTTGTCTTGAATGGCGGTCGTGAACGCGTCGCTCCATAAATGTTTGTTGTTATTTTGTCTTTTATTTTTTGTTATTTTGCATTTTATACTTTTTGTATGTTTCAGTCTTTGTTTTTGAAATTTACTTGGTTTAACCGCAATGCAGAATCACATATTTGATACCGTTATGCTAGTGTTTGTAATTGTTCGCGTTTTTGGTGTAATGCTTGCTTAATTTATGTTTATTGATGTTGATTACTTGGTCTTGTCCCTGAAGTAACATTCATATTAGTTTTGATCATTTTATTTTAATATGTGAAAGCAGTCGCGGGGGTGGTAAAAACTGTAGTCAACTTTGAGTTACGACACCTAATTCCGTGATTGTCTTCGACATTCAACTGTAGGCTCGAAACCCCGAAACCAGGGGCGGGTTATCTATCTTGCAGGAGCAGGATTACGCTAATCAAAGCTCTTCAGTTTAGAATCTATGTTCGATAAATGAGTTACGTTTCGTAATTTCCACATATCTTGTTTTTAGTTAAATTTGCCTACAAGGCCATGTAATTTTCCATCTTACTTTTAACAGAAGGACTTTATTGCACCAAAGATGAGTCACATCCTGTGTATTTCACCCTTTCTTAGAATCTTGGTAGGTACCTGCTTACTTGACCCATTATTCCCAAAACTTGTTTTTAACTTTTATGCTACCTCTTGAAGTTTACCTGCTACTTTATGCGATGTTATAATTTTATGTTACGCATTCACATCATTACAAACAATTAATTTTACAACACAATTTGATATTAATTTGACGGCTGGTTTTGTTTATTGGTAAGTTCTTTTTTTGCCAGCATATTTCTATTTTGATTCGGTGAACTACCATTTTCCAAGTTTATTTTTGCAATGTAATTTCGACTTAAATTTCCGAGCTTTCACAATCTTAATAATTATTAAACATTATTAAACAAACTTTTCACAATTTCAGTGTTTTATTTTACGTTCCTTCCCTTCCCTACTGTGCTTCAGGTCATAGCGTTGTTTACAACTAACGTAAGGGGGCCCTGCCTTAGATGATTTATCACGTGGCACTTTTCCAATTTAAGCGGGATCTCGTTTAGTCTGAGAGGCAATAGTCATTCCGGTGGCCATTTTTACACGTTGCCGGGTTGACTTAATTTCCGTGTTCTTGTAGTGTGAAGTAAGCGTAGAATCTGGGGGTTAAGTACACTACAGCTGTATCTGTTACTTTCTGATTCGTGGCGCGCTGCAGTTCTTGTGCGTTAGCTATACGAAGGGGGGGGGGGGATCTCTTACCTATTTTATGTTTGTGTGTGTGAGTGGTTCATTATGTCTCCGTGGAGGAGGTAACTAATACAGATCGACCGTTCGCTGTATCTGTTGCCTACTCGTCTCGTGCGGATTGCAATTCTTAGCATCTTAGCAATGTGAGATATTTAGGGGCCCTCTCATTAACATTTTATCTATTTAAAATATATTCTGCTTGAGCGATAATCGATTTTCACATGAATACTTGCTATTGACATTCTGACATGTACTTTTCGTGTTGAATTAAATTATGTTAACTGAAGGCTGTAGTAGAGCCACACCATTTACATGTTTTCCTATGTACATTACATTACTATACGAGTTATGTTATCTCAATTAATCATACAGGTATTATGATGTGTTTTTGTACTGAATTGATTTACCAGGTTTTCCACTGCATTTATGACATCTCATGTGTTTTGTTTTTATGAACTTGTTTAATTGCATTTGATTTGATTGTCTGATTTTTATCATACAATTTGAGGTGTTTTATTTATGTGTATGTTCTCTTGCATTTTATTGCTGTAGGTGATTTATTTCATGTATTTCTGTGATCTAATGCCTGGGTTTTTGTCCCGTAGAAGGTTTCCCTGGCATGATCTTGTTGTGTGCGTAATATATTTATTTGTTCTTGTCATTTCTTACGCACAACACTTCTGTCTTTTATTTAATTCCCTTCCCGATTATGTTTCACGTCCCAACACATATAAGAACCGATTACACAACGTAGGAGTTCATTCGTGCCACCCATATCGAGCCGACTGCCATCCAAATTCAAAAGTGCCGCGAAACGTCCATCGTTTCGACTTGAAACGTAGGTGGCTCTGCTCGTAGTTTTTTCCCAGAGTTGCCAACGGTAAGCATAGGGTAAGTCAACGTTTACAGTGCCGTTACAATAGAAAAAAACAATACACATGCTATGTCTACTTCTTAATGAATTAATAGCGCTGTATATTGTAGAACAGTATTTGTGATTATCGTTCGTATCAGAAAAAACACAAACATTTGTAACAGTATTTCTGTACAGCTTATTTAAACTTTTATTTTTACGTGATTCAAGTGTCCAGTCTAAGTGTAATCATGACTCCCAAGTATGAATGATGTGACTGAATGGGAATGCATTTAAAGGAGAATTGTTTATTTTAAGTTATTGTAGCTGAATGTGCATTTCAAAGATAGCCGCTATGACGCAGAAGGAGAATTAAATATAAGTAAATATCGCGACGTAAATAGAATTGCATTCATCGTATGTAAATAGGTAAATTAGGGTACAAACCTGCATAGAAATAGCGAGTATTAACGCTAAGGTCAAAGTCCGAGTCATTGTAACTAATTAGTTGAGAGCTAGTAGAGCGATTCAAATCCGTCTATTCTCTACCGCTGCCAAAGTGTCAAAAGCTTAAGGACGGCATACGAATCATAATATTGAACAATTTATAAAATTAGGCAACCAACATTACTAATGGTTCAGCTATTTCATACGTGAGGTCGCAGCGTGTTGTAATGTACCTTTTATTCTGTATTTTGCCTTGACGCAATAAAACACTCACAGTCTATACAGTTTTGTGTTCGTCTTTTGTATACGAATAGATTGTGACGCACATCAACGAATCCCGCATTCCATTCCAAAAATAAACCACTTCTTACACTGTTGCATTGTTTCTGCTTGTTGTGAGTTATAAATCGGTGGACTTGTTTGTATTGTTTTCGCTATTTACAGTATTGTTATTTTTTATTAAATTAATCGTGTTTTACATTTTTCGCGAGTGCAAGGTGAATAACTTTTGAAGATTTACGAGTGTTTTCGTTTATTTGTGACTGAAAACTATTTTTGAATTATCACACTAGACTATTACAATAATTAGGTAGGTAAGTCATATATGTATTAGGTTCCACATCGTTAATTATGTTTGTACAGTTTTACACAATGGGAAGAACTAAGAAGTATTTGGGCACAAGCACTTCAAGAAATCCAAAAACAAACACACGTGCTAAGAGAGCGAAGGAAGCTTGGGTTGAACGAAGGAAAAAAGCAACAGAGTCTATTGGTAGTAAAGTAGCTCGTGAGTAGTTATGCTATAACTAATTTTTCTGTTGGTTAGAGCCAATTGCTGAGTGTTCCCATATATTATACACTGTTGAAGATAGGGACGAACCTCAAACAGCTACGGAACGTGTGATTTCAGATGTGGTGATGGATACTATGGGTAAGCAAAATTAAATGTTGAAAATTACTTCTTTGAGAGTGTGATTTATTGTCATAATAACAAAAATGTATCAGTCAATTTGCATAATTGTGGGAGGGGGTGAACAGTTTGCCTTTGCAAGTCTCATGAATGCTCATTCTTTGGGGTTGGCAGCCGCCCTTATTCAATTTTGTATTTTTGTTTGGGCAAAATTGAAGCAGGCCAACTTTTTTGTCTTTTGAAGAAAGGCAGGTAGGACTAAGCAGAGTTTGTTTTTATTATAGATACAACAGCCCGCAATGACAGCCAGAGTGATACATCCGACCTCACATTACTACCTTCGACTTCCACGGGTAAAGGATACGAGGGTACCGAATCATCTATTACGAGACCAGAATTGTGAGTAATAAAGTACTATGGTAAATTAAAATTAAATTGTTTTTTTAGATCACGTAAGGTATATCCAGGAGCAAAAAAGCCTACAGCAAGTGCTGCTGCATCCCGAAGTGAATTTGGCATTATGAGTTCTATGGAATATGAAAGGTATATTGGGTAATTTTAAAGGATAGTTTATTTTGAATTTTGTTTGAAGCATTATGTCTCATCAATTGACGGTGGAATCTGAAAATCCGCCACCTGAAGCAATAACGGGAAACCGAATTGTGGAAGTTGGGTATTTTGCACAGCAAATTATTAATGCACAATACGAACATATGAAAATCTGTACATTTGGAAAATTGCATTTGTATAATGAATACAATAGGGGAATGGGATTGGTGTCCTGTATAATCTTAAAGTGTGCATCATGTGATCGTGAATTTAAAATATTCACTGAAAATCCTAATAAACAAAGTTCCTCATTGATTGATCAATCAACAATGAATATAGGGTCTGTGTGGGGAACTATAGCTTCTGGAGGATCATACTCACATATGTGCGAATATCTTAGCGCATTAGATATTCCTGTAATGCATGGTTCTCTGTTTTATCAACTTGAGGACCAGTTAGGAGAAGTAAGTTGATTTGATTGTATCTTTTATAAAAATTAAATATCTACTTGTAGATCTGGAAAGAATCATTGTGGAAATCCATGAAGGCAGCTGGTCTGAAAGAAAAAGAAAATGCAATTGCCAATGGAAATTTATGTAATGACGGCATTCCATGGATAACTGTTTATTTGGATGGCTCCTGGAGTAAGCGGTCATATGGTCATAACTACAATGCACTTTCTGGCATGGTAAGTTGTGTGTGTAAACTTAATTTTGATTAATTTCAAGCACGTATGTGTTACAGGTTGCAATCATTGGCAAGTATACAAAAAAAATCCTCTATTTGGGTGTACGCAATCGATACTGCTCAGTTTGTGCACGAGGAGAAAACGAAAGTGCAGATATCAAGATGCACCATTGTTTTAAAAACTGGAACAAATCTGCTCCAGCTATGGAAGCTGATATGGTGGTGGAGGGATTTTGCCAAAGTGAAAATACGCATGGCGTGCGCTACGGTAAATTTATTGCTGATGGTGATTCTAGCACATTCGCTAAAATTAAAACAAATGTGCCATATGGTAGCACTGTTAAAAAAGTAGAGTGCACAAACCACGCCTTAAAAAATTATGGAAAGCATCTCCATAAAATAAAAAGTGATACCAAAATTAATTTAAGTGGAAGAAGATTATTGACAGTGGAGAAAATTAAGCTTTTAACAAAGCGGGCTAAAGCAAGCATTTATGAGCATGCAAACGCTGAGATGTCTGTGTCTTTTTTGAGAAAAGACTTAGAAATTGGATTTCTGCATGTCTTTGGCGATCATAGTAATTGCAGGGTAAATATATGTAACACTGTAGGCGACGTTTCGAACAATGCAGTTCCACAGTTAAAAGCGACTTCAATGTATGATCATATCAATGGTAAGTAAACTGAGTTTGTGTAAAAATGTATGTGTTTATTGAACATTTATACTTACAGGAGCTTTGGAACTGCTTATAAGAAAAGCTAATTTGCTCATTGAAAATGAAAATAATAATGCAGCAGAATGTTTAATGAATATTGTCTCTCGTTTTAATATGGGGAAGAGAGTTAATTTGGTGCAACGTGGATCATACGAAAGACGAGTTTATCTGGCAGCTTTGCGGTACAACAAAGCGTTTGAATGGCCTATTAGCCCTTGGAAGAATGTGACAGGTGCCACAATTGGTGAAAATTATCAACAGTTCATCAAAACTAATATGGCGATAAAAGATAGCAAAGTACGGAGGAGATTGGTCCAGAAAAAAGTTAGTCTCAAAAGGAAGAACATTGTGAAACCTGTCACAAAGATAGATACAACTGCTTATGGTCCATCAGCAGAACAACCAGAAGAAGAAGAGCAAAATATCGAAGAAGAATGTCAACGATTAATTCAACACTTGCATGTAAATTTTAAAAATAATGTATTTAGAAATAGAGTCTACTTTTTGTGTGCCATAGGTGGAGGAGAATGAAATCCCTGCTATTGCTGAGGCAACAATGGGACAATTTTTTAATGATGTGTACATAAAGTTCAAAGAACGGCGCCTTACTGCATCAAACTTCGGCAGAGTAGTTAAACGAAGGCCGTACACTCCTTGCCACGGAATTGTCAAACAATGCCTGGGGAAAAATATTTTTAGCACGGAAGCTACAGAGTATGGCATTTCCAAAGAATCGGTGGCAATAAAGGCATTTGAAAAGAAGCAGAGTGTGACTGTAACAAACACTGGATTGTGGATACATAAAGATTATGGATTTTTAGGAGCATCACCAGATGGTATGTTTTTAAATTGCTAATTTTTTAATCAACTTTTTTGCACTAGGTCTTGTTGGTACAGACGCCATCGTGGAAGTGAAATGTCTGTACTCTTGTTCAAAATTGGAGGAAACTGATTTGGAAAAAATATTACTTTTAAAAAAAAACACCTGTTTGCAACTAAAGGATGGCAAAATATCTTTAAACAGAAGACATTCTTATTACTATCAAGTACAAGGCACCTTGAACATTACCAAGAGGAGCAAATGTTATTTTGTTGTTTATATTAACGATGCAGTTCCACTCTACATAGAGGAGATTGAAATAGACATTCATTTTTGGGAACATGAAATGGTGCCAATATTATTAACTTTTTACAAAATGTGTATTGCCCCAGAAATTATAAGAAACAATATCGGGAAGGGAAAAAAGTGTGTTGATCCACAATACATAATAGATGCGATAAAAAACCGTGAAGCACAGTTGATGGAAGCGTGTAAGAAGAAGCGGAAAACCAAAGCAGAAAACCTCGCAGAAAACTAATTACACATGGCTCATATCTAGCTTGCTGAACATAGGCCCTTAATTGGATTCCCTATGTCGGTTTCAGCTACAATCCTCCACTGCCTGTACAGGAAATCTCCAAGACATAGACTTTATTCCGGAATCATACCTAGCTGGCTGAACGTGTAGGCCCTTAATTGGATTCCCTATGTCAGTTTCAGCTACAATCCTCCACTGCCTGTACAGGAAATCTCCAAGATATAAACTTTATTCCGGAATCACAGCTAGCTGGCTGAACGTGTAGGCCCTTGATTGGATTATCTACGTCAGTTTCCGCTAAACTCGTGAACTGCCTATATACAGAAAATCTCTTAAAAGTAAGTTTTGTTCCGGAATCATATCTAGCTTGCTGAACATAGGTCCTTAATTGGATTCCCTATGTCGGTTTCAGCTACAATCCTCCACTGCCTGTACAGGAAATCTCCAAGACATAAACTTTATTCCGGAATCATACCTAGCTGGCTGAACGTGTAGGCCCTTAATTGGATTCCCTATGTCCGTTTCAGCTACAATCCTCCACTGCCTGTACAGGAAATCTCCAAGACATAAACTTTATTCCGGAATCACAGCTAGCTGGCTGAACGTGTAGGCCCTTGATTGGATTCCCTACGTCGGTTTCAGCTAAAATCGTGAACTGCCTATCTACAGAAAATCCCAAAACTAAGTTTTGTTCCGAAATCATGTCTAGGAACTGCCTGTATAAATATCTTAGAAGAAAACTTTATTGTGAATTTATGCCAAAGTAAAGCTAAGCGTGAGCCCTAAATTTGATTCCCTACATGAGCTCAATATGCACATATGCCCAGTGGGACAATAGGGCTGAAATTGTTGTTTGTTACTCACGAGAGCACAGTGATCAAATAACAACATTTGGCGAACACCCACTTAAAAAAAAAGGTAACGAGCCAATGACAGTACCTCTAGGGTGGTTTGGAAATCTTGTTGATATAATAATTTTTCGAAAAACTGTTTATTGTAAACAATTTTTGTTATTATATATCATTATAATCAATATATCATTTGCTGTTGACAATATAATCATTTTTACAATATAAGAAAGGAAGTAGCAAAGCGAAACTACATGCACTCCAAATTAATTATTATACTACCTATACCTACTCGAAAATATTGTCACTAGCAAGTATATTAATAATAATTTTATATTAATTAAAATTGAGCCCACATAACAGTATTGCGTACAATTATTATATTTTGAACCAAATAGTAATAGATCATCCTAGTAGATATTACCATATCTGTCTCATTTTTTTTACAGAGCTGAGAGCAATGTTGCAATGCAGAGATGCGTTCCGACGTACGAGTACATGGCAATCATTAAATGCGACAGTTAAATACTTTCTGTATTACTTAAATCAGTTAAATCTATGTTCAACATTTATGTTTGATGCCTACATTATAATATTAATTGTTTTTATCTTTTCAATAAACATATTTCATAAGTACAAATTCATCATTTTGCCGTAATAACCATTCTTCGCCAATCTCTTCGTATCATTGCTCCTGTGATCTAACGTTCACTGGCACTAGAACAAAGTAATGGCCACCTTAATAAAAAGAAAGACTAATTATTTGTCACAGTAAACAATGTCTAAAAAATACGATAAATTTAATGATATTGGTATTCACTTGACGATTGGAATGTGAAAAAGACACAACTACCATCCTCGGAGGTTAAAGGTTTACTGAGAACAACATGATATCAAACTTCGTTCCAAAGCAAGTACCATTTTCCGAAACATGAATTGGCTTCGATAATACAATTGTCAAGTGGTTTATTAAACAGGCAAAGTATGGTAGGTACTGTTTCAAAGTTACTTGTTCATTATAATTACAAATCCTATGGTTAGTGATTACAAAAATCACTTCACGTTTTTCATTTTAAGGTTTTAGAACCCTGAAATCTTGATTTGAAGTGTTTATGTATGCCTGCTTAAACGTGGCAACGCCGTTTATGAAACTACCGTTATTAATAGGTCAAGGCATTGTGTTGAATGGGTGAAGGTCGCGCAGTTGGCTACGAACGCGGTATCATTCTTAACAGTGCCATCTAGAAATAAATGGCTAGACTACTGTTGCTTCCCGCCATTTTTTGATACGTAACTGTATAAAAATACGATCTTTGAGAATGACTCCCGGATAAATTAGTGGATTTTGACCGACCAAATTTTCAATATTGACAGAAGAAGAGCAGCTTTAGAGCGACTATACTTTAAAATTCAACAATTGCTTAAAATAAAAAATAAAATGTGTCGTTTTATTTTATTAATATTGTACTACTTATTGTCTTTCTAAAAAAAAAATTATATAGTCGCTCTAGAGTAATGCATGTAGAATTTATATTTTCAAAAACCACCCTAAAAAATGATTGTATAAGCCCAGGAGTCATTCTCAAAGTTCGATATAATTTCCCATTGCAATTTGGCAGTGGCGACCTCTATTGGTTCTCATGAATAGTATGCCGTCCTTAAGTCACGGGCGTTCAAACTATTTATACATGTGCGAGTTTGAGCGATAAAGCGAATTGAGGTCAGTGGATACTAAGTGAGAAAGTATAAATACGGGGATTTCAAGCACCAGAAGAGAGTTGCCCGTCGCCGTTTTTCGGAGCAACATCTATGTCAGTCGCGCCCGCAAATTATAAGCGCGAAGATTAATAAAGCGTTAAGTTAAGAGGCGATTTTTATAAGAAAGGCAAGCAAAAGAACCGAGTGAAATAATCTCCATCGAGCCAGCGTAGGAGACGAAAACGTTTCTTCCCAGCGCGCCGAAGAAAATTGGAAATTTACGAAATTACAGAAGACTGTTACCGGGCGGGGTAACGTAAGTGGCAAACGGAGGTTGAAAACGTATATTACACAATATTTACAAATAATACAGAGGCTATATGTACATATATAAGATCGCTTCTGGCACGTGGGATGGCGCCGGACTTGACTACGGTCAAGCCGGGAAGTGATGGCGTGCGGAGACGGTACTTGAGCCCAAGCGACCAGCCTCAGTCGCTTGTGTAGGGTAAGGTAGGCTTGCCCAGGCACAAGTGAAGTTCCCCTGTCGGTGCGCTGCTTATAAACGATTTCCGGTAGAGGCGTCTGGCGACGCGGCCAATAGGGCGCTAGTGGATGGTGGGGTGGAAGTTGCAACCCCTCTCCTAGTCGTCGTAACAGTATCCCCCCCCTGTAAAGGGGTTGCGACGGCGGGGTGCAGGCGCTGTAGCAAACGGCGGTGACGGGGTTGTCGTTGGTTCCGTGGTGGCGTCGGTGAAATGATTCTTGGCGGAAGTTCCGGTACTGGTGCCGGGGTGGGTTGGTTGGGTGCAGGGCGTAGATCGTGTACGTGCACCTTTACCAGTTCGTTTCCTCGCCTTATCCAGTACGCGTTTGTGCCCGCCAGCGCTTCGATGGTGTAGGGACCTGTGTACTTCATGTGAAAGTTCCCGGAGTGTTGGTCCCTGGATCTTTCCATCACTCCGTCGCCTACTTGGTACTGGGTGCGGGCTGGCCCGTAGTTCGCGTACCGGCTGCGGGATCGTGCCTGGTTCCTGTGCACCGTCTGTACGACCTCCTCTCGGGCTTCTCCTGTCGGTGGAGGTGGTCGATCCCTGGCTTTCCACTCTCCTGGCCTGGGTAGGTCGTAGCCTAGCAGCGCGTGGCTCGGCGTGAGTCCAGTAGCGGCGTTTCTCCTCGTACGTAACGTGAACATGACAATGGGTAGTACGGCCGCCCAGGCGCTGGGGCTTTGTCCCACCAGATGAGTGCGGAGGCCCTTTTTGATTTCTTGGTTCCGGCGTTCGACGGGGTTCGCCTGCGGGTGCCATATGGGCGTCGTCCAGTGCATTGCTCCCCACTTCCGAAGTGCCGCGTCCCATGTCACTGATGTGAATTGCGGTCCGTTGTCTGAGATGATCGCTCTCGGGAAACCATAGCGTGCGAATACCTCGTGTTCCAGGATTCTGACCACTGTTGGAGCGACTGCTTCCTTTACTGGAAATGCCTCCACCCACATGCTGAAGAGGTCCGTGATCACGACTATCTGGCGGTAGCCTGTAGGTGTGGCGTCGTAGGGGCCCATCAAGTCTACGGAAACCGCTTCCCAGGGTCGTGTGGGTTTGCGTGGGCGTACGGTGGCGTCCTGGACCGGGCCTCTTTTGACTGCCGCGCAAATCCAACATGCTCGTACATAATTCCGCACCGTGTCTCCCAGTTTCGCCCAGTGGTAATGTGTCATTATGGCCCGTTCCGTTTCTTCGGCTCCTGGGTGGCCAGCTGTGGCTGCGTTGTGGTACGCTTCTAGTACCGCTGGTTGAAGGCTGCAGGGGACTACGAGTAGGTTCCCTTGGGGTGCTTTGCGGTAGAGGTAACCGTTGTCCACCGTGTAATCCCGGTTGAACCTTGCTTGTGCTGGTGTCGCTGGTCCTTCCTGCTGTATTCTGTGCCAGGTGCGTACCAGAACGATGGCGTTTTCGTTTGTCTTTTGGCACTCCTTCACATGGTCCGCCAAATTGGCCACTTCCACTGCCGCGATTACCGGGGTGCTGTTGGTTTGTTTGGACTCGTGTGTGGTCGTAGGTGGCAGCATGCGGTTTACGTCTTCTGCCGTGGCTTCTTCGGCTTCTTCTGCTGATGGGTGGCGGGACAGGTGGTCTGGAAGCTCGTTTTCTTTCCCCGGACAGTGGACCACATCAAATGTAAATTCTTGGAGCCGTAATGCCCAACGAGTTAGCTTGCTCTTTTCGTCTTTTGTGCGATCCAGCCACAGGAGAGCGCGGCTGTCTGTCTTCAACGTAAAACGTCTATCTTCCAGATATGGCCGGTATCGTTTAATGGCCCATACTACTGCCAAGCACTCCTGTTCGTTGATATGGTAGCGTCTCTGCGCGTGGTTAAGTTTGGCACTGGCGTAGCTGATAATTTTTTTCTCTCCGGGGTGGGGTTCTTGAAAGAGTACGGCCGCAATCCCGT